GCACAGTGATGGAGGGACAGTGTTGGGGCACAGTGATGGGGGCACGGTGATGGGGGCACAGTGATTGGGGCCCAGTGATAGACTCACAGTGATGGAGGCAGAGTGATGGAGGCACAGTGTTGGGCACAGTGATGGGGACACAGTGATGGGGGCACAGTGATGGAGGCACAGTTATGGAGGCACAGTGTGGTTGACCTTGGTGCCATCTATGATCCAGGTTCCGAACTAAAACAGTTGACCCTCCCATTAATATTAGTTTTCCATTTTCTAGTTTGGTGTTTTGGGAGGTGACGAGGTACTGGGGACTGGCGACAGACGGCAGTGAAGCAGAGGCAGAGATGAGTTACTTTGGTCGGCCTAGAGACGTACCATCTAGAGGGCTAGAAGAGCACTGAAGACCTCCCTTTTGGAGTGTGCTAGCCAGGGGGCTAGTTGAGAGCTGGAAGACTTCGCTTCGACAGTGTGCTAGCCAGGGGCTAGTTGAGAGCTGGAAGACTTCACTGTTGGAGTGTGCTAGCTAGGGGGCTAGTTGAGCGCTGAAGGACTTCATTGCTTGAGAGTACTAGCGAATGCATCTTCGGGAAGACAGTTGGTGAGGGGAGGAGAGACGGGGAGATATAAAGAGAGGCGGGATAAGGGAGGAGAGACGGGGGAGATTTGGAAAAAGTAGGAGTGGGGAACGGGAAGTGAGACCCGGGCGCAGCCGGGTCTCACTTCCGGTGTCACTTCTGGGTCTCTGGTCAGTGTAGCTGGCTTCTCTCCCTCACTCCTACACTGTGAGGTCAGTGTAGCTGGCTTCTCTCCCTCACTCCTACACTGTGAGGTCAGTGTAGCTGGCTTCTCTCTCTCACTCCTACACTGTGAGGTCAGTGTAGCTGGCTTCTCTCCCTCACTCCTACACTGTGTGGTGAGTGTAGCTGGCTTCTCTCTCTCACTCCAACACTGTGGGGTCAGTGTAGCTGGCTTCTCTCTCTCACTCCAACACTGTGGGGTCAGTGTAGCTGGCTTCTCTCCCTCACTCCAACACTGTGTGGTCAGTGTAGCTGACTTCTCTCTCTCACTCCTACACTGTGAGGTCAGTGTAGCTGGCTTCTCTCTCTCACTCCTACACTGTGTGGTCAGTGTAGCTGGCTTCTCTCTCTCACTCCTACACTGTGTGGTCACTGTGTCAGTACTCAGTCACTGTAGTCAATCACTAGGCTGCCAGTGTTGCCACAGTCACTGTAGTCAACCACTAGGCTGCCAGTGTTGCCACAGTCACTGTAGTCAACCACTATGATGCCAGTGTTGCCACAGTCACTGTAGTCAACCACTATGCTGCCAGTGTTGCCACAGTCACTGTAGTCAACCACTATGCTGCCAGTGTTGCCACAGTCACTGTAGTCAACCACTATGCTGCCAGTGTTGCCACAGTCACTGTTGTCAACCACTATGCTGCCAGTGTTGCCACAGTCACTGTAGTCAACCACTATGCTGCCAGTGTTGCCACAGTCACTGTAGTCAACCACTATGCTGCCAGTGTTGCCACAGTCACTGTAGTCAACCACTATGCTGCCAGTGTTGCCACAGTCACTGTAGTCAACCACTATGCTGCCAGTGTTGCCACAGTCACTGTAGTCAACCACTATGCTGCCAGTGTTGCCACAGTCACTGTTGTCAACCACTATGCTGCCTTTGTTGATTCCATTCGAGCATTGACAAATATATTTTTCTTCAACGTTATGTATTATTGATTATTCTACTTTCTATAAATCTAATATACAATTTATGTAAAATTTTATATACAATTTATGTATAATTTAATATACAATTTATGTATAATTTAATATACAATTTAATATACAATTTATGTATAATTTAATATATAATTTATAATATATAATTTACTATAATTTATTAAATGTTTTAATATATAAAACATCAAACAATGTCAAAGCAACATCATTACAAACAATAAATAAAGGAGATAATGAAGTTTGTTAAAAACCTTTTACATGTTCAATCTAACAATAATTAATTGATAGCGTTGACAGTTACGAAAGCATTTAGAGTTGTATTTTGCTTTACAAATATTTGTTAAAACTTGCTTTTATTTAGAACTAAACAGGACTCTTAACTTATCCAGCAAGTTCTCTTATATCACACTTTGAGGCTCATAATTCTAATTAAAGATCGCAGTTAAAAGTTATAGTAGCGGAAATTAGCTTTTATGATGACCTCCAAGTATAATTAGTTTATAAACTAATTACCGGTGTAATTTCACTTTGTATGATAGTATGAAGTCAGGCACGCCTGATGCTTTTATTTTGCTCAGGATGATTTATACTGTCTCCCTCATGATGCATTAAGCCATAAGCCATAGTCCTCTGACTGTCTTCCTCAGTAGCCCTCTGACTGTCTTCCTCAGCAGCCCTCTGACTATCTTCCTCAGCAGCCCTCTGACTGTCTTCCTCAGTAGCTCTCTGACTGTCTTCCTCAGTAGACCTATGTATGTCTTCCTCAGTACTCCACTGACTGTCTTCCTCAGCAGCCCTCTGACTATCTTCCTCAGTAGACCTATGTATGTCTTCGTCAGTTCTCCACTGACTGTCTTCCTCAGTAGCCCTCTGACTGTCTTCCTCAGTAGCCCTCTGACTGTCTTCCTCAGTAGCCCTCTGACTGTCTTCCTCAGTAGCCCGCTGACTGTCTTCCTCAGCAGCCCCCTGACTGTCTTCCTCAGTAGCCCTCTGACTGTCTTCCTCAGCAGCCCTCTGACTGTCTTCCACAGCAGCCCTCTGACTGTCTTCCTCAGTAGCTCTCTGACTGTCTTCGTCAGTAGCCCTCTGACTGTCTTCCTCAGCAGCCCTCTGACTGTCTTCCACAGCAGCCCTCTGACTGTCTTCTTCAGTAGCCCTCTGACCGTCTTCCTCAGCAGCCCCCTGACTGTCTTCCTCAGTAGCCCTCTGTCTTCCTCAGTAACCCTCTGACTGCCTTCCTCAGTAGTCCTCTGACCGTCTTCCTCAGTAACACTCTGACTGTCTTCCTCAGTAGTCCTCTGACTGTCTTCCTCAGTAGCCCTCTGACTGTCTTCCTCAGTAGCCCTCTGACTGTCTTCCTCAGTAGCCCTCTGACTGTCTTCCTCAGTAGCCCTCTGACTGTCTTCCTCAGCAGCCCTCTGACTATCTTCCTCAGTAGACCTATGTATGTCTTCGTCAGTTCTCCACTGACTGTCTTCCTCAGTAGCCCTCTGACTGTCTTCCTCAGTAGCCCTCTGACTGTCTTCCTCAGTAGCCCTCTGACTGTCTTCCTCAGTAGCCCGCTGACTGTCTTCCTCAGCAGCCCTCTGACTGTCTTCCTCAGTAGCTCTCTGACTGTCTTCCTCAGTAGCCCTCTGACTGTCTTCCTCAGCAGCCCTCTGACTGTCTTCCTCAGCAGCCCTCTGACTGTCTTCCTCAGTAGCCCTCTGACTGTCTTCCTCAGTAGCACTCTGACTGTCTTCCTTAGTAGTCCTCTGACTGTCTTACTCAGTAGCTCTCTGACTGTCTTCCTCAGTAGCCCTCTGACCGTCTTCCTCAGTAGCCCTCTGACTGTCTTCCTCAGTAACCCTGTGACTGCCTTCCTCAGTAGTCCTCTGACCGTCTTCCTCAGTAACACTCTGACTGTCTTCCTCAGTAGCCCTGAGCATGTCTAACACAGTAGCCCTGAGCATGTCTAACACAGTAGCCCTGAGCATGTCTAACACAGTAGCCCTGAGCATGTCTAACACAGTAGCCCTGAGCATGTCTAACACAGTAGCCCTGAGCATGTCTAACACAGTAGATGCACTAACATCGCACATCATAAAAGTATTTGAGAGAGTGATTACGAGTCAGGTCACCAATTTCATGGAGACCAATGACCTTCACAACCCAGGCCAACATGGATTTCGAGCAGGAAGATCGTGCCTCTCACAGCTACTTGAGCACTACGACAAAGTCACTGAGGTATTAGAAGAGAAACAGAATGCTGATGTGATATACACGGACTTCGCAAAGGCTTTCGATAAATGTGACCATGGTGTGATAGCACACAAAATGAAGTCAATGGGAATAACCGGTAAAGTAGGACGCTGGATACTCAGTTTTCTGTCAAACAGGACTCAGCGAGTAACTGTCAACCATATAAAATCTAGTCCAAGTGCAGTGAAAAGCTCTGTACCTCAGGGTACAGTCCTTGCACCGCTGCTTTTCCTTATTCTCATATCAGATATAGACAAAAATACAAGTCACATCTTCGTATCATCCTTTGCAGATGACACAAAAATCAGTATGAAAATTACCTCGGCTGAGGACATTGAAAAACTTCAAGCTGATAATAATAAAGTTTTCGACTGGGCATCAGAAAATAACATGATGTTTAACAATGATAAATTCCAGGTACTCAGGTACGGTAAAAATGAGGACCTTAAACATAATACAGAGTACAAAACACAATCAAATGTACCCATAGTAGGAAAACAGCATGTAAAGGATTTGGGAATAATGATGTCTGACGACCTAACGTTTAAGGAGCATAACCAAGCAAATATTGCGACAGCCAGAAAAATGATAGGATGGATTACGAGAACTTTCAAATCCAGGGATCCCATCACAATGGTTGTACTCTTCAAGTCACTTGTGTTGTCCCGTCTTGAGTACTGTTCAGTACTCACTTCCCCCTTCAGAGCAGGAGAGATTGCTGAAATAGAGGGAATACAGAGAACATATACGGCACGCATAGATGCAATAAAGCACCTAAATTATTGGGATCGTCTCAATGCCCTCCAAATGTACTCACTAGAAAGAAGACGAGAGAGATATCAAATAATATACACCTGGAAGATACTGGAGGGCCAAGTACCAAATCTACACAGTAAAATAACAACGTACTGGAGTAAACGATATGGAAGAAAATGTAGAATAGAACCAGTGAAGAGCAGAGGTGCCATAGGCACAATCAGAGAACACTGTATAAACATCAGAGGTCCGCGGTTGTTCAACGTCCTCCCAGCAAGCATAAGAAATATTGCCGGAACAACCGTGGACATTTTCAAGAGGAAACTAGATTTATTCCTCCAAGGAGTGCCGGACCAACCGGGCTGTGGTGGGTATGTGGGCCTGCGGGCCGCTCCAAGCAACAGCCTGGTGGATCAAACTCTCACAAGTCAAGCCTGGCCTAGGGCAGGGCTTGGGGAGTAGAAGAACTCCCAGAACCCCATCAACCAGGTATCAACCAACCAGACCTGGTCATGTCTAACACAGTAGCCCTGAGCATGTCTAACACAGTAGCCCTGAGCATTTCTAACACAGTAGTCCTGAGCATGTCTAACACAGTAGCCCTGAGCATGTTTAACACAGTAGCCCTGAGCGTGTCTAACACAGTAGCCCTGAGCATGTCTAACACAGTAGCCCTGAGCATGTCTAACACAGTAGCCCTGAGCATGTCTAACACAGTAGCCCTGAGCATGTCTAACACAGTAGCCCTGAGCATGTCTAACACAGTAGCCCTGAGCATGTCTAACACAGTAGCCCTGAGCATGTCTAACACAGTAGCCCTGAGCATGTCTAACACAGTAGCCCTGAGCATGTCTAACACAGTAGCCCTGAGCATGTCTAACACAGTAGCCCTGAGCATGTCTAACACAGTAGCCCTGAGCATGTCTAACACAGTAGCCCTGAGCATGTCTAACACAGTAGCCCTGAGCATGTCTAACACAGTAGCCCTGAGCATGTCTAACACAGTAGCCCTGAGCATGTCTAACACAGTAGCCCTGAGCATGTCTAACACAGTAGCCCTGAGCATGTCTAACACAGTAGCCCTGAGCATGTCTAACACAGTAGCCCTGAGCATGTCTAACACAGTAGCCCTGAGCATGTCTAACACAGTAGCCCTGAGCATGTCTAACACAGTAGCCCTGAGCATGTCTAACACAGTAGCCCTGAGCATGTCTAACACAGTAGCCCTGAACATGTCTAACACAGTAGCTCAGAACATGTCTAACACAGTAGCCCTGAGCATGTCTAACACAGTAGCCCTATGCCCTCAAAGGTAAGCTCTTAAGATGTCTCCTGCATTAGTCTCAAGTCCTGCAGTAGTCCTCAGGATGTCGCCTGCAGTAGTCCTCAGGATGTCGCCTGCAGTAGTCCTCAGGATGTCGCCTGCAGTAGTCCTCAGGATGTCACCTGCAGTAGTCCTCAGGATGTCGCCTGCAGTAGTCCTCAGGATGTCGCCTGCAGTAGTCCTCAGGATGTCGCCTGCAGTAGTCCTCAGGATGTCGCCTGCAGTAGTCCTCAGGATGTCGCCTGCAGTCGTCCTCAGGATGTCGCCTGCAGTAGTCCTCAGGATGTCGCCTGCAGTAGTCCTCAGGATGTCGCCTGCAGTAGTCCTCAAAGTAGGCTCTTTACTGCTAGTCTGAATGCAGATGATTTATTATAATCAAGAAGGATATAATAACTCATAACGGATAACAGTTATCAGAATAGGTAAGCACAACACCTGGCGAGAGCAGCTAATGGCATCAACAGGTCTATCACCAACGTCTGACGCAAGAACCGTTTGATTATACAAGAACCAAGTGTGTAAAAAGCTGTTCAGTCGTGCTCCGATAGCACCTACACAGGAGCAAGACCTCAGCTTATCAAATAGATGGTTAATTATATTCCCGACGCCGTCACGTGGACCGTCTCTCTAAGAACACACCGCTCGTCTAGGACGGCCGGGCTGCTCTAGTGTCTACTGCAGTTATTGCCTGTAGCACCACTTCATAAAGGAGGAAATAAGGCAGAGGCAAAAAATTACAGACCGATAGCACTAACATCGCACATCATAAAAAATTTTGAGAGAGTGCTAAGAAGTAAGATCACAAAATACATGGAACACAGCATCTCCATAACCCCGGACAACATGGTTTCAGAACAGGGCGCTCTTGCCTGTCGCAGTTGCTGGACCACTATGATATGGCATTAGATGCTATGGAAGACAAACAAAACGCTGATGTAATTTACACAGATTTCGCAAAAGCTTTTGATAAATGTGATCATGGTGTTAGTGCACATAAAATGCGTTCATAAGGAATTACCGGAAAAATAGGCAGATGGATCTACAATTTCCTGACTAACAGAACCCAATGTGTAATAGTCAACAAAATAAAATCCAGCCCATCAACCGTGAAGAGCTCAATCCCCCAGGGTACTGTGCTTGCTCCAGTACTTTTTCTCATCCTCATATCGGACATAGACAAGAACACAACCTATAGCACTGTATCATCCTTTGCAGATGACACTAGGATCTTCATGAGAGTAGGCAACATAGAGGACACGGCGAACCTCCAGTCAGATGTAGATCAGGTCTTTCTATGGGCTACCGAAAATAATATGGTGTTTAACGAAGATAAGTTCCAGCTCATGCGCTATGGAAAAAATGAAAATATAAAAACGGAAACCACGTACAAAACTCAGGCAAATCATAACATAGAACGAAAAGGCAATGTAAAGGATCTGGGTGTACTCATGTCGGAAGACCTTACCTTTAAAGAAGACAATAAAGTAGCCGTCACAACTGCAAGAAAAATGACAGGTTGGATAACAAGATCTTTTCACACTAGAGATGCTATACCGATGATGATACTTTTCAAGACGCTTGTGCTCTCTAGAGTGGAGTACTGCTGCACAATGACAGCACCTTTCAAAGCTGGAGAAATTGCTAACCTGGTGAGCATGCAGAGATCCATTACTGCTAGAATCCACTCAGTAAAACATCTAAACTATTGGGACCGACTAAAGAGCCTAAAACTGTACTCCCTTGAACGCAGACGGGAGAGGTACATAATAATTTACACGTGGAAAATATCAGAGGGGCTGGTCCCAAACCTGCACACAACAATAACATCACATGAGACCAGAAGACATGGCAGGATCTGCAGAATACCCCCGTTGAAAAGCAGAGGTGCAACAGGTACTCTGCGAGAGAACTATCAACATCAGAGGCCCGAGACTGTTCAACACGCTTCCACTACACATAAAGGGCATAACTGGCCGACCCCTCACAGTGTTCAAGAGAGAACTGGATAAGCACCTCCAAAGAATACCTGATCAACCAGGCTGTGACTCATACGTCAGGCTGCGAGCAACCGCGTCCAAAAGCCTGGTTGATCAGTCCGGCAACCCGGAGGCCTGGTCGACGACCGGGCCGTGGGGACGCAAAGCCCCGGAAGCACCTCAAGGTAACCTCAAGGTAAAGGTAAGGTGGGCTTAAAACAAAGGGAGAAGGATTCAGAACCCATTAACAAATATTAACAAATATTACAACCTCTCTCTGCTTGGAAGGCAAGCTATTTTACGTTGTGGTCGGTAATGTGAGGACAGGTTGTTGTTAGTGTCCCAGCATGTAGTGCGTGGCCAGCATGTAGTGCGTGGCCAGCATGCAGTGCGTGGCCAGCATGCAGTGCGTGGCCAGCATGCAGTGCGTGGCCAGCATGTAGTGCGTGGCCAGCATGTAGTGCGTGGCCAGCATGCAGTGCGTGGCCAGCATGTAGTGCGTGGCCAGCATGTAGTGCGTGGCCAGCATGTAGTGAGTGGCCAGCATGTAGTGCGTGGCCAGCATGTAGTGCGTGGCCAGCATGTAGTGCGTGGCCAGCATGTAGTGCGTGGCCAGCATGTAGTGAGTGGCCAGCATGTAGTGCGTGGCCAGCATGTAGTGAGTGGCCAGCATGTAGTGAGTGGCCAGCATGTAGTGAGTGGCCAGCATGTAGTGAGTGGCCAGCATGTAGTGAGTGGCCAGCATGTAGTGAGTGGCCAGCATGTAGTGAGTGGCCAGCATGTAGTGAGTGGCCAGCATGTAGTGAGTGGCCAGCATGTAGTGAGTGGCCAGCATGTAGTGAGTGGCCAGCATGTAGTGAGTGGCCAGCATGTAGTGAGTGGCCAGCATGTAGTGAGTGGCCAGCATGTAGTGAGTGGCCAGCATGTAGTGAGTGGCCAGCATGTAGTGAGCGGCCAGCATGTAGTGAGTGGCCAGCATGTAGTGAGTGGCCAGCATGTAGTGAGCGGCCAGCATGTAGTGAGTGGCCAGCATGTAGTGAGTGGCCAGCATGTAGTGAACGGCCAGCATGTAGTGAGCGGCCAGCATGTAGTGAGTGGCCAGCATGCAGTGAGTGGCCAGCATGTAGTGAGTGGCCAGCATGTAGTGAGTGGCCAGCATGTAGTGAGTGGCCAGCATGTAGTGAGTGGCCAGCATGTAGTGAGTGGCCAGCATGTAGTGAGTGGCCAGCATGTAGTGAGTGGCCAGCATGTAGTGAGTGGCCAGCATGTAGTGAGTGGCCAGCATGTAGTGAGTGGCCAGCATGTAGTGAGTGGCCAGCATGTAGTGAGTGGCCAGCATGTAGTGAGCGGCCAGCATGCAGTGAGTGGCCAGCATGTAGTGAGTGGCCAGCATGTAGTGAGTGGCCAGCATGTAGTGAGTGGCCAGCATGTAGTGAGCGGCCAGCATGTAGTGAGTGGCCAGCATGTAGTGAGTGGCCAGCAGTGGCCAGCATGTAGTGAGCGGCCAGCATGTAGTGAGTGGCCAGCATGTAGTGAGTGGCCAGCATGCAGTGAGTGGCCAGCATGCAGTGAGTGGCCAGCATGTAGTGAGCGGCCAGCATGTAGTGAGTGGCCAGCATGTAGTGAGTGGCCAGCATGTAGTGAGTGGCCAGCATGCAGTGAGTGGCCAGCATGTAGTGAGTGGCCAGCATGTAGTGAGTGGCCAGCATGTAGTGAGTGGCCAGCATGTAGTGAGTGGCCAGCATGTAGTGAGTGGCCAGCATGTAGTGAGTGGCCAGCATGTAGTGAGTGGCCAGCATGTAGTGAGTGGCCAGCATGTAGTGAGTGGCCAGCATGTAGTGAGTGGCCAGCATGTAGTGAGTGGCCAGCATGTAGTGAGTGGCCAGCATGTAGTGAGTGGCCAGCATGTAGTGAGTGGCCAGCATGTAGTGAGTGGCCAGCATGTAGTGAGTGGCCAGCATGTAGTCAGCGGCCAGCATGTAGTGAGCGGCCAGCATGTAGTGAGTGGCCAGCATGTAGTGAGAGGCCAGCATGTAGTGAGTGGCCAGCATGTAGTGAGTGGCCAGCATGTAGTGAGCGGCCAGCATGTAGTGAGTGGCCAGCATGTAGTGAGTGGCCAGCATGTAGTGAGTGGCCAGCATGTAGTGAGCGGCCAGCATGTAGTGAGTGGCCAGCATGTAGTGAGTGGCCAGCATGTAGTGAGTGGCCAGCATGTAGTGAGTGAGCGGCCAGCATGTAGTGAGCGGCCAGCATGTAGTGAGTGGCCAGCATGTAGTGAGTGGCCAGCATGTAGTGAGCGGCCAGCATGTAGTGAGTGGCCAGCATGCAGTGAGTGGCCAGCATGCAGTGAGTGGCCAGCATGCAGTGAGTGGCCAGCATGCAGTGAGTGGCCAGCATGCAGTGAGTGGCCAGCATGCAGTGAGTGGCCAGCATGCAGTGAGTGGCCAGCATGCAGTGAGTGGCCAGCATGCAGTGAGTGGCCAGCATGCAGTGAGTGGCCAGCATGCAGTGAGTGGCCAGCATGCAGTAAGTGGCCAGCATGCAGTGAGTGGCCAGCATGCAGTGAGTGGCCAGCATGCAGTGAGTGGCCAGCATGCGGTGAGTGGCCAGCATGCAGTGAGTGGCCAGCATGCAGTGAGTGGCCAGCATGTAGTGAGTGGCCAGCATGTAGTGAGTGACCAGCATGTAGTGAGTGGCCAGCATGTAGTGAGTGGCCAGCATGTAGTGAGTGGCCAGCATGTAGTGAGTGGCCAGCATGCAGTGAGTGGCCAGCATGTAGTGAGTGGCCAGCATGTAGTGAGTGGCCAGCATGTAGTGAGTGGCCAGCATGCAGTGAGTGGCCAGCATGTAGTGAGTGGCCAGCATGTAGTGAGTGGCCAGCATGCAGTAAGTGACCAGCATGAAGTGAGTGGCCAGCATGCAGTGAGTGGCCAGCATGTAGTGAGTGGCCAGCATGCAGTGAGTGGCCAGCATGTAGTGAGTGGCCAGCATGTAGTGAGTGGCCAGCATGTAGTGAGTGGCCAGCATGTAGTGAGTGGCCAGCATGTAGTGAGTGGCCAGCATGTAGTGAGTGGCCAGCATGTAGTGAGTGGCCAGCATGCAGTGAGTGGCCAGCATGTAGTGAGTGGCCAGCATGTAGTGAGTGGCCAGCATGCGGTGAGTGGCCAGCATGTAGTGAATGGCCAGCATGTAGTGAGTGGCCAGCATGTAGTGAGTGGCCAGCATGTAGTGAGTGGCCAGCATGTAGTGAGTGGCCAGCATGTAGTGAGTGGCCAGCATGTAGTGAGTGGCCAGCATGTAGTGAGTGGCCAGCATGTAGTGAGTGGCCAGCATGTAGTGAGTGGTCAGCATGTAGTGAGTGGCCAGCATGTAGTGAGTGGCCAGCATGTAGTGAGTGGC